ATATGCAAATATGAAAGATGATATGCAAAGATGAAAGGTGATATGCAAAGATGAAAGGTGATATGCAAATATAAAAAGGTGATATGCAAAGGTGAAAGATGATATGTGAACATGAAATATGAAAGGTGATATGCAAACATGAAAGGTGAAAGATGAATATGAAATATGGAAGATGATATGTGAACATGAAATATGAAAGGTGATATGCGAACATGAAATATGAAAGGTGATATGCGAATATGAAAGGTGATATGCGAATATGAAAAGGTGATATGCAAATATAAAAAGGTGATATGCAAAGGTGAAAGATGATATGTGAACATGAAATATGAAAGGTGATATGCAAATATGAAATATGAAAGATGAATATGAAATATGGAAGATGATATGTGAACATGAAATATGAAAGGTGATATGCAAATATGAAATATGATATGCAAATATGAAATGTGATATGCAAATATGAAATGTGATATGCAAATATGAAAGGTGATATGTGAATATAAAAGACATGCGAATATGAAATATGATCGGCAAATATGAAAGGTGATAGATGAATATGAAAGGTGATAGATGAATAGTGAAAAGTAAAAGAGCAAAGTTATATGAATATAAGGCAGTAGGTGAAGCTAAAATAAGCTTGAATAGTTGTTTTTAAATCCCTTTTTCAGACAAACATTGAGTAAATGAATGAATGCATTTGAAGCTCTTATCACTTTAGTCATATGTAGCAACCAGTTACCTCATGATAACGTAGATTTGTTTTTTGATATACTAGACCCACATCGAATATGGATCCAAAGAGACATTAAGACAGAATGCTAGACCTGGTCACAACCTGGCATTACCTGTCCAGATGCTAGCCCTGGTCACTCCTGGCATTAACCTGTCCAGATGCTAGACCTGGTCACAACCTGGCATTACCTACATAGATGCTAGACCTGGTCAGAACCTGGCATTACCTACATGGATGCTAGAGCTGGTCACAACCTGGCATTACCTGTCCGGATGCTAGACCTGGTCACAAGCTGGCATTACCTATCCAGACACTGGACCTGGTCACAACCTGGCATTACCTATCCAGATGCTGGACCTGGCATTACCTATCCAGATGCTAGACCTAGTCATAAGCTGACATTACCTATCC